CCAATTTTTATTCTTCCTCTTATATTTTCCATCTTTTCCAGCTTCTTCTTCTGGTTAGTTGGAGAAGAACGAAGAAATCCAAAAAAAATAAAAAAGTGATAACAACCTTTAAAAAACATAGTAATAAGAATAACGAAGAAAAAACTGAAGAGTAGCACGAAGACGAGGAAAATGACGAAGACAAAGAAAACTATAAAAAGAAGAAAAAAATGAAGTCGGATAAGATAAAGAAAACAAGACAATGAAAAGAAGAAGAAAAAGCAAAGTATGAAAATAAACTGGAAGAAGAAGAAGAAAATAAAACAAAAGTTAAGAATAAAATATTGGTGAATGATGACGAACCGTAGATAATTATTATCATTAACAAAGTTTACAAATCAGATTCGTGTATGCGCATGTACATCACCTAAGAAGTAGAAGAGATGATCATTTTATTTGGTTTCATATTTTTCTTTTTGAAGTATTATTGTCTCTTCTATTTCTTGCAATATCTATTTTTTCTACACATATTAATTCATTACATGCATATAACTAATAACCATGCACATTTATTTTTTTTATAAATGATAAAACCACATAATTAAATACTAAAATTAATCTAATTTTTTAAAAATTTCACAGTCCCGCAGACGGTGCGGGTCATTCATCTAGTTTTATAGTAAAATTGTGTATCTCTACGGTAATCATTTTATAGAAAGTAGGGCACAGTGACACCCACCTGATGAGCTATTTCCTTTTGATTATGCATGTAGAATAAGAAGATGAAGACTTTTGATCAGAAACAGAGGCTTATGCCATTGGTGATACCATTTATGCAAGTCATCTCAACTAAAAAAAAACAATGCATTTAGTCATTATTGTGATGATAAGGTAATCATTTATCCACCTAATGTGCGATCTTCTTGTTCACATGTCGAAACCCGAAGTTATTTTGCTGATTTTTGTCATTAATAGACTTTAGAGATGTCGAATTCACTAAATAACTCAACCTGCTTTACTGATAGATCAACTTGAACATCCTTGAACTTGCGGAGATCGAATCTCAGTGAACAGATCTTGGAATCCATCGTCATGAACCCCAAAAACTGCTCTGCTTTTTTACCCAAAATCCATTTTTTGGATAAAGATTCCCATAGTTTGCAAGTGGATCGCTCTCAGAGATGTTATCGGAATCCTCGTCAGTATCTTCTCTCCTACCAATTTCGGTGACAACTAAATTAGGGTTAGGGCTTTGTCTTCTTTTTTTTTTGTTCTCCTTATATACACAATTACGACGCTCCGGTTTGATTTGGTTTGGTTATCTTTATCTCTCGCCGTGAGGAAAAAGAAAACGAAGGATATGATCTTATCGGAGATCTCCGGACTCCGAGGAACTGTTGGTCGAGATACTCTCCGAAGGAAGCGTGGTATTCGACATCTCAAAGCACTCTTCAAAACATCAAGTGTTGGTACTTGGAGCTGGAGCTTCATGTAGAAAGATTCAATGCCACATTCATCACTGTCCTTTCCCACGAGGGATGACCATTAAAGGTGTTTTGTATTATGAAGCTTCGACTGGTGCATATAGTAGCCATGTTAATTTTGACTTGAATTTTGAAGAGTTTAAATTGGTTGAGTTACCCGATATAGTTTGTATGTCGAAGTTGTCTTGACCACTAGTCTCATGAACTACAAAGGCAAAATAGATGTTTTTGAATACACAGTCCTATTTGTGACGGTATTGTGGATGTTTGGGTTTTTGAAGATGCTGAGAAGAGTCGTCAATGGTCGACCAAGAAGACTTTTGTTTTGCCTTTTTCTGAGACGAATATCGTCAGAGGAGATGAGGTGAGGATGTGTGGCACTAGTCATAGTGGTAAGGTTTGGTTGGCAAAGGTAGTTCTCCCGCGGAATCTACCCGCACCCGCACATTTTTTCATTTATGATTTGGAGAGGAATGAGATGGTAGAAAGAATTGAAATATAAGGCCAATATGTAACATGTGGGGATGATATTGAAGGCAATTGGAGAAAGTCAACTTTTTGGGATGATAGTGAGAACATCTCATGTATTTGGAAATCTAAATCTAATAGGTTTTTCATCTTTTAGACATTCGAAATTAAGTGGATACTATAGCATTACAAAAAGTAAGTGAACAAATGAACAAATTCAATGTTTTTTTTTTTGTATCTAACCCTTCATCCTTCGAAGAGAAAGGTAAGCTAAGAGACGGTAGCCAATAATCATCATAGCTACAAGAGCTAAGCATTGCGAAAACTGTGTGTATATCTTTCAGAGACTTTTTTCTACTGAGTTTCTCTTTCTTTCACTAATCTATTTCAACCATAAACCAACCATCTTACAAACTAAGCTTCTCCACTAAAGACCTGTATAAGATGTTGCTTCAAGGAAATCTGCAACCAAACCTTGATTAATGAATAAGACTCTTAAATTCTCATAAAGCATAAGTATCATGAACAGTATAATAAAACAAGACACAATCATGAGATTGTTGAAATGCATTTATGGAGGTTCAAGTTATGAAATTGAATCTTACTAAATCTCCAGTGACTCAGTCAACAAGTTAGCTCTTACCAAGAATTGTAATCAATAAACTAATCTCTTACTTCACAGTGTAAGGGACGTATGTAGATTTGTTTTTCATCATATTACAATAGACCACACAAAGAATCAAAAATTCTCCATATCGGACCAACAAATCTTTTGCTCTTTCTGTAAATGATGCAATAACCACCGATGAAACTTCACAGTGGCTGGAGCAGGTTTCCACACAACTTCACTTTTCCTTGGATAACAAGTACTAAACCCTAATCTCACTAGCAATATCAATAGTCCATACTAAGAAATATGAACTGCTAAATTATGCAAAGTAGTTAATTTGTAATTGCAAGCGAAATAACAAAAGCTCCATTGTACCACAATGGCAGAATCAGATCTCTTTGATCAAATTTCCGTGTTCGAAACTCGGTGAAATATCTTTTTGTTATTTTTGGTTCATGTGTTTTTCTTCTTTAATCATATTAATATAGACTACAATGGATCATGTGTTTTGTCTGCATCATCAACACACAAAACAACTTCATAGCAATCAAACAACTCCGCTGTAGCATAACAGCTAAAACCAAAGGTAATCTGTTTTACTAAATTTCCGCNTTAAAATCCGGCAGCAGAATATTTTTTTGTTATTTTTTACTCAAAAAATAATTATACATGTATATATATTTATAATTCCTATAGCAATCAAACAAATCTAGTTTCTTAACTTAATTTCTAGGTTCGAAACCAGTAGCAGAATATCTTTTTGTTATTTTTGTTTACAATGAATTAAAAACGAGAAAACGTCTTACAAATTTGCTTTTCTTTTCAATAACACTAACTAGAAATAATGTTTTATTCCTCTAAATAAACGACATGCAAGTCTACAGATTAATGGGCTGAATTTAGGATTAAAAAAAGACCATTCAAAATCTTTGTGTATTTATATATATTTATAGTTCGTAATCAATCAACAGTTCCGCTGTAGCACTGGCAAAAGCTTCACCTTAACTGATGAAATCTTTCCGGGTTCAAAGCCTGGCAGCGGAATATATTTTTGGTCTTTTTCTTAATGAAAAAGAACTGAAAACGTCACGACGTTGCTTTCCATAACATTACAAACAACATACATGTTTTTCTTCCTTAATAAAACGGCACGCAAGTATACATTTTAACGGGCCGAATTTAGAATAGTGGGCTTGATGTTACGGCCTACTCTCTCTTCGTCTCCGGCTACAATTAGAGAACGGACTCGACGACGGGGATCGAACGGAAAAGTAACTAACTGATCCAGCC